ATCTCGACCGGGGGAAAAAAAACCCAAACCAAAACAACTTTCCTGACACGAGAATTCCTCCTCTGAATTCAAACCTTTGAAGCCAAGTTATAGGAAAAGAGTTTTTAACTCCTTACTCATTATGAAGACCAAGAAAAGTTGTGTTTGCTTGCTATAGTAAGAAACAAAATTGCGGTAAACAATACAATCAACATCTCTGATCTGAACACTGCCTGTACTTCACTAAACCTTGAATTTAAAATTAAACTCCAGAAGATAAACTGAAGTAACCCATCACGGAGTCTCAAGAGAGGCAAGTGTGGCAGGAAAAGCTGGTATTAGAATGGTAGCACAGACATAAGTTTGGATTAAGCGTACTGTGAAACTGAACCTAAACTGTATACTGCTAGGAAAATGGGTAGTCCTACTCTCTTGCCTGCTCTACGCCTTCAGATCAAGCAGATATGCTGAGTCAAGTAATTTGGCTAATTGACCAAAAACGGTGGCACGGGAAGTACATGTGTGAGACGTGCTGGTTTCAGTCACAGTGATTTGAATCCACTTTTCCATAAGTGGTCACAAAGCCCCATGAAAGTCAGAGGGCAAGAATGCCTGTCCTGGGACAGTAATCCCAAATTACAAAATGCATCCCAAAAAAATCACCAGTGTAAGAGACAGTTAGTGAACAGTTATTTTAACAGAAATAGTTGCACTTACTCTCCTTCCTGAAAAAGATAGCATTACTGATTTCAAGTAGGTGCTTCAACCTATCATAGAGCAGGCATTAATAAATCTGGTTCCTAGACAGTGGCATCACCTAATAACTACTGCCAGATGGGAGATAGGGCTGGATGAACCCAGCTCAGCGATGCATCATTTAAACATAGGTACACTAACAGTAGTTACTTTATATTCAGCAAGTTACTTTTCTAAACAAAATCTGAAATGCTGGGTTTAAGCTCCATGTTAATCAAGCTCTCAAGAACTACCAGTTAAATTTGATACAGCCACACAAGAGAAACTGATCTCAAGTCTGAGGTTATTTCCCAGTACACTTCATTTTTGGCTCTGATAGGCAAGCCTGCTTTTTGTGTTGCTAATACAAAGCATCCAACTTAAGAAAAAATAAGGTTTTGTATTTACTCTTGAGAAAATAGCAAGTAAATACAGCTGTTAACATACAAATCTAAAACAAAGACCTAAAAACCAGCTTATCACATACACGCTATAAAGGACTTCACAAAATAATTCAGAAATTGAAGTGTGGACATAGATGCAATGATATGCCTTAAACAGATGTTCAACCTTTGAACATGTTTGTCACTAACAAGTAAGGAGCCACATCACATCCATCTCTCCACCCAATACAGTTAAACTCCTCCCCAGGAGGATGCCCACATGACCACAACTGGTTTCTAGTATTCGAAATCTCAGCTGCAACTGAATTGCCCAGGAAACAGCAGAATTGCTACGGGGCATAAAAAAAGAGGTAAACTATTTTGGCAACTGAAGTTCAGCCTACTTTTTTTTTTTTAAATGTGAAAGAGGAACCTGAAGCCACTTCTTCCACAGAATGAGAATGCTTTAAATCAGCATTACATCTCTCTTGCATGTAAAGCGTATTTTTTTTTTCCCCAGATAATGCAGCATGTGTGACGTAAGCAGATTTCTTTTTCTGTCACCGTTAAATTAACCCACACTCAAATTTGATGGTATTCCCTTTCCCCACAACTCCTAAACACTACAAGTTAATAGGAATTTACATTTTTAAATATTACAATTTCTTCAACACACGGCAACCATAGATACTAAGAATCTTGTAAGACTTCAAACAGCGCTTGCAAAACTGGCTGAGGAAAAGTGTACTTCTCTGGAAAAAACAAAAAAAACCCCACACCAAAAAACCCAAGCCCTTGTTATTTTAAATCCATTAATATTTGTCTATAGTTTCCTCAAAAATTATCTCACCCAACAAGCAGGCATATACAGTTCCAAGAGGACCACCGCTTGTTTTACCAAAAGACCATTTAGGACACCCAAGAGCAATAAAATGTTTTAGTGGCTCATCATCCGGTAGGTCTGCTAACTCCCCACGTGACTTATTTCCCACCTGTCGGCTCCAGAGGAAGCAGCCCAGGCAACCCAGAGCAAGACGACAAGCTGCGATACCTGCTTGGTAAATGCCTGCAGGCTTTGGGCTACTTCTTTTTAGGTGATGCCCAAACCCGCATATGCAAACAACTAACAGGGCCACCAGCAGCTATCGCTCACTCCAAACAGCACGACGGACACGTGGCAACATGTGAAATGGGGAAATTGCATTGAGCAAAACACAGTTCTTCAGTTCTTTTTAAACCACATCACTGCATGTAACTGGATCAGAACCATTTTGTCCGCCCTGCTTCTTCACCCCAAAAAGCAGAAACCTGTAATCCTGAAGTGACCAAAGGAAGGAAGCGCCAGCATCACATCAGCAGCTTAAAACTGAACTCTAAATAACATGCTGTATCCTGCCTTCTCTAACGATCCACGCGTGCCCTTACTGTGGATCTCAAGTACTATGTAGCCCTGTCCCTCCACCAGTTTCCAAAAATGCTTTTGTAGGAATGCTACTATACAAGAAAAAAGTTGATTAAACAGGAACTGTAGATGGCCTTGTTCCTTGTCCTCCGCAGCTTTTGTATTAACACCAATCCCCACCATTTTGTTTTGCTCTTTCCGTACTGCAGAGCACATCTTTGAGAGACTCCCTGGTACAAGTGAACAGTCAACTCTGGATGAGTTATGCCAACAATACTTAAGACAGATGGCTTCTAAAACCTGCTGGAAAAACATAACCCCAAATAACTAAACTCTCAGCATAAAAAAAAAAAAACCAAAACCAAAAGGCAACATCACCTTTTGTACTCCCCTTCCTCTATTAACCTTAAACAGGATCAACTAGAAGATCCACCCAAAATTGGATGGACATCTGAGCATTCTGGCAAAATGCTAATTTAAACAAAAAAAAAGCAGTTCTTACTGAAAGCTGATGACTTAACTGCTTTTATTTTCACACTGCTGCACATTAAAGACAAAAATATACTGTACTCGGGGCAGTGGGTGAGAAAGCTAGAGATCAAGTAATTTGTTCAGTAACACAGTGGAAATACCTGTTAATGAAAATCCATCATACTTGAAAAAAAAAAAAATGAGGAGCAGAGAGGTGGTGCCCTAAGATTCCTTGGGAATAAAACCAGGACAGCAGTCTGTATCAACAGGGACAGACAGCTAATCACTAACAGGATTCACATGGTATCTCCATCATAACCAACACCCTGAGAGAGGCAAAAGTTTATCCCTAAGCTGTAGGTCTAACACTGCACGCTTAAATGTTGTCAAGTGCATGGACTCCTGATCCCTTCACCTTCCATTATGAATTCTTTGCTTTGAACAGGTTAACCTCATTGTCATAGTATTCCTCACCCCAATTCTCTCTTTTAAGAGAAACAGCTTGGTATTTCATTTGAGTACCAAAATCTCTAGATTTGGTTTTCTAATATACCTAAGAAAGAAAAAATTAAGTTCCTTTATCAAAAAAAAAAAACCCAACCCAGCCTAATTACCTTTTTGTGTAGGTGGTTGCAGCATTGTTGACTGATGCATGAAACAGAATGCTGAAGTACAGGGCAAAACAAGTAGTTGATTACATCGAAATGCATTTATATCAAGTTTAACAGGGTTGTTGTCAAGTAGACAGAAGTAACATCTCAAATCAGCTAAGTCTCAGTTGCTCACCTTTTGTATTTCTGTTGTTCTGGATGCTCTAAGACAAGTCTTCCTTAATTTCTAGTCGATAGCTATGAACTGCTTGGCATCAAAAGGATGTGATCACATTTTGTCTAGCATTAGTTTTCTCTGTGACAAGCTACTCCATTTAAATAGACTTTACTCTGCACGACCCTGGCAGACAGCATTCATTACTAGAGCCAAGCAAGTTATGAATAATGTGATTTATTCTGTAATTTTTGGCGCTCTGTTCAGATACCAAAGCAGATAATACTTCTCTATTAATCCTCTCTGGAAATCTTCAGACAAATTCACTCATATGTTTAGAGCTCACTCAGTACCTCTTGAAAGAGGTTAGCAGCAAATAAGCTCTGTAGGGGAAATCTGTTCACCGCTTACATATTTTCTTCTCTGTAACTTATTTCATTATCTGCAAGAGCTATCAGAAAGTACACCACATAACTCATTTCCAGACTGGTCCATCAGAATCCTTAACCAAATTTCAGATGAAAAATTAAAACAAAGTTTTTACAGAATGTAATTTCAGCAGTAAATTTCTTCACACGAACTTTCACCAGCAACCGGGTGGGAAATATATAAAAAAAAAATAGTAAGTTTCAAATGCATGCTCCTGTCTAAGTACTGCTTCTGTAAAGTATTGTAACTAACAAAAATGGTACAAAAGTGTCTGACTGGAGTGTGCGAAATGAAACTAATCACACTTGGACTAAGCTCTCAAACAAGCTGGAGGGTGTGACTGAAACAGAAAGGTAGTCAACCAAAAAGTGAACACCTACAAACCAAGAAACCCCAAAACACACCAAAAAAACCCAAAAAACCCACCCCAAACCACCACACCCCACCACTTACACTGTACTAACAAACCATGAAAATCAATGCTGAATTTGGAAGCGTTTCTAAGTCGAGCAAGAAAGGAAGCTAAACAGTAAGAAAACAGTAACAAAACTGCTTTTTCTTAGCACTATAGCTTAGAGAGCTCAGTCCAGCTGCAGGCTCTACCTGGTAATATACTCACCAAACTTGCTTTGACACGGAATGGACACAAGTTTTACACTCTTAAAAAACCCTCACATATACACTACTTCAGCCAAGGTAGTAACCCCGGTGTTTGTTTCCTAGATCCGCTAGAAGTATTTAGATCAGATATTGAAGAGAAAAAGGGAAGGCTGATTATTTTTTTTAATCAAATATAACCCACATGTAATATTTAAAAATCAAGACTAAAAGCAGGCATCATTTAATGTATTTTAATAGCAAACTTACAGGAACAGCACAGAAGACAGACAACATTAAAAACATGTACTTGCATGTAGGACAACTCAGTTAGAAAAGTATAGTGAATGGATGGAATCTACTGTATGATAAAAATGCTACAAACACCATTTAGTTGCCATAGATAAGAAATTTACTTGTTTAAAAAAATCCAAATGCTGGCATTGTCCAGAAAAATTTGACAGGTTTATTTATAATTTTTTTTTAATAAAGTTGAATTGTTGAAACTTGTTCACTGAAACATTTTTTGACTGCATTGGTGTTTTACGTCCCCTTGTTTATATTAAAAATCCACACACAAATGAAAATGGGAAAAAACTTGCCAATACCCAATTCTGTCCCCTATTTTTCCATTTGCAACCATATACTTAGGTACCTTTTAACCCCATGGAAAAAATATCTAACATTCATTACTACCAATAACAGGAAGAAGATTTTGCTTCGAGAACGACAAACCCATCAGAGTGAAGTTTAGGCACGCTCTCCACGTATGCGGCGTGCTAGCTGGATATCTTTTGGCATGATTGTGACACGTTTGGCATGGATAGCACACAGGTTGGTATCTTCAAACAGGCCAACCAAGTAGGCTTCACTTGCCTCCTAGTGAAGAAGAAAAAAAAAGAGTTAAGAGCACATTCAGTCTCTGAGCACTAGGAAAAAAATAATTCAAAGTACAATGGAACATGGCATTAAGTTTAGGCTTCTATCTTTATTACTTGCGAACATCAAAAGTTTTAGATTCTCAAAAAATAAAAGCCTCCATTTTCTTATAAACCACCAAATAATATTCTATGTCAAAGCTGCATCCTGTTGTCATTTGGTAAAGACATCCTCCAGAACACAACTGAACCGATGTTCTGACAGGATTCTCACAAGATAAGGGGTTATCTTACCAAAAGGTTAGTTTGTTTAGGAACTTCTCTTTTTAAAGGCTGCGTTACACTATTTGAACAACTCGTCTGCTGCCTCTTCCAGAGTAAGAGCTATTGAGCATCAAGTAAAATTGGCAGGCACTAGGAAAAAGAAGAGCAGGTATTCCTTCACAACACACAGTCTGGGCATGCAGCTCCTTGCCATAGGATATTGGAGAGGTGGCTTAATTCAGAAGTCAAAAATTAGCAGAAAAAAAATGTACCAGAATTATTAGATACAAGATGACAACACCTTTGACTCAGGAACTCCTTCGATCACCAAAACCAGGACAGCAGTCTGAAAATTACCATCAGACACTTGTCCTATTCCTACACTTTCTTCCTGCCTAAGCACCCCCTGTCTATTTGGGGCACACACCACAGCCCCCCCACGATCACAGAAGGTTCTCACCTCACACCCGCGAGAATCACAGGGTCCGCATTTGGGAGGGCAAAGGACAAGCCTAATCCTGGGAAAACCACAACCCTGAGTTTTCTCTGTTACTGAACCATTGCAGACGGGATTCTGGGTTAGACAGAAGCTGCGCTGAACATAATTATGCTTCTGGCTCGCATTAAGTTAGCTGCTATTAAGCCCAGCACAGCAATGGTAACCGTTTACACATTTTTGCATTGATACAGAATTCTAACACCTAACAATCTCCTATGAAGCATCTTGGCACGCCAACATCAGACCAGCACGCGGACCAGGACACAGCACATGGTTGGGGTGAGAAGGCAGGAATGATGGGGCGTGCTTACAGAAAGGAGGTTGAGGTCCACCGTTCTAGAACACATGCAAGAGAAAAGCTTGCGTGAACCATTTCGTTACCAGGAACCGCAAAATCAACTTACTAATTTCAAAGTTCCTGTTTAAAAACACAAAGCATTTAATACAAAGAAAGGAAAGTATTTACTACAGCAGATGAGGACTGTAGTATTAGTAAGTCATTTCATATCCAGTAGGATATGGCTACCATAAGTTCCCCTAACACGGTTTTGCTAAATCACTACATGCTTCACCAAATAAGCTATACTGGCACGAACAACATGGTACTAAAGGGGTTAAAAGCGGGGATGGGGGGTGTGTGTGGGGGTGTCTTCCAAATATGCAAGCAGGAAGCACTAGGAATAGTACATGAACAAGTTCTATATCGACAACTCCTTAATGCAAAACCAGTCTTCTAAAAATGTATTAACTATTGACTAAATTTTAATAAGCAGTTCCTGATAAAAAGATACACAGCTAAACTTCAGGATTTAAGAGCTACCACGTTCACTCACAGCAGTGAAGACAGAACAACAACTAAAAGCAAAAGCAGCAACTTTGCAAACGTGCACAGCCACCTTTTGAAGCTAAGCATGTACTCAAGTTAACAGCATCTCACGGCATTTTGGCCCCCATCAAGTGGGAGTCGTTAACCAGAAAAAGACAATTTTGCCTGGATATCAGATATTCTACAATTGCAGATAGGTTCTGGAACAATCAACAGCTAAAAGAACAGTAAAGACCTATCTTTAATCAGGAGTGTATTTCTATCATGAGAGGGAAATGTTCCCGTTGCAAGGACACAGTCTTGGAGGGGACCTAACTTACAGGAATGCAGGAGTTTGGGGCAAAAAGAGCAATCAGTATTTCACCCTCAATATACTCTAAATAAGTTATTTAACTAATACGTTAAAAAATTTATGTGTTTAGCATCATCAACTACCTCATAAAAAAACCCCTTATTTTCCTAACCTTGCTTAGATGTAGCTTATCGAGCTGTTTTTCCTTAAAGAGCATTTGAGGCTATCGAGACCTCCATTTGGACACACTAGAACAAGCTTTACACGACAACGCTTTCCTCTCGGACTGCGCAGCTTTCCAAGGCAAAGCCTCTACCAAAGCTTGAGGACAGAGAAAACAGATTTATGTGAAGTGTCCTAATCAGAGGCACTGTTCTGTCAAGTGCAACTACTTGCAGGGTGGGGGCTACTAAAAAAAAAAAACAAAAAAACCCCAAAACAACAAACCCCAACAAAAAACACAAAAAGCAACCCCACCCCCCCCCAAAAACCCCGACATTTATAGCCTTTGTAAGGAGCTGCAGACCTGTCACTGCATTATTTTAGCCTATAGTATCTGTAGGGTATCACCAGGTCCACTGAGAGCAAGGGAAGGCCAGGGGCACAGCCACCCTTATCAGCCCACTACCCGGAGGGGCCACACCCACCACAGCAGCCCACCAATCAGGGGGAGCTGGGGCTAACCCTAGAAACAGCCTGACCAATGGGGGCAGGAGGCGGAGCCCTCCCTTACCTTCAGTCTGCAGGGTTGGGGGGCTTTGGGGGCAGTGGGGGCTCTGGCTGTGACAGCACTGACCCCTGCCTTCCCCCAGGACCCCCCCAGACCGCCGCCCGGACAGGGTGCTCCCCTCGGTGATGCTCACCTGCAAAGCACCGATGGCAGCGCTCTGGAAGCGCAGATCTGTTTTGAAATCCTGAGCAATTTCACGCACCAGACGCTGGAAGGGAAGTTTGCGGATCAGAAGTTCGGTAGACTTTTGATAGCGTCTGATTTCACGGAGAGCCACAGTACCCGGCCTTTTGAGATTAAATAATTAAAAAAAAAAAAGTTAGTATTAGTATTCAAGACATATTCGACATCACCTTAAAAATACGGGTTCAGCATCTAAACTAAACTAAGCACCGTACACGTTCTGTTGTCACTAGCAGAATCCCAACGTTTACAATACAAACCCAGTTCCACTGGCAAGGGGTCACTGTTTTCCCACCATCCCTCTGCGCAAACTTCCCCTGGCCTCAGCAGGATCCCTCAGGCAGACACGCGAGGCCCCAACTTCACTCGAGAAGAGGCGGCCAGCACACGTTAGCTGGCTGGCACGAACACGCCTCGGCACAGCCGGGGCAAACTGCAACGCTGCCATCAGCTGCCTGGTACAGCTGTACCACAGGTACCCTCCGAGCCACCGGCCGGACGGCAAGCACAATTTTAAGGGGAATCTGGCTCTTCTTCCCTACTGACGTAAGACACCGTCGACATTCACAGAACCAACAGAATTTATATTCTGAGTTGCGTTATCAGTACAAAGTATCTAGCGTATTTCCCTGTGTTAGTTTTGGTGTCAGAGCGACAGATTCAGATTAACAACGTACTTTTGCAGACACAAAGTCCATCCGTGAAATTAACACCACATCTGTTTCTGTGGTGATTTTGTATTTTCCTACCCCAGCCTTATTACCTTTCTCCCAGACTATTAATTCTGCCTCACGCCGACAGCAACAGACTTTTCGATTAAGTTCACTACTTCAAAGCCGCTTCTCCTTCCCAATCCACTTTTTCCCCAAGGAATACGTACACCTAGCCCAGGATCATCCTCCAAGCTGAAGCACGACTGCTCCCATTTCCGGACCGAGCAAAAGACTTTCCCCGGGGTGGAAAACATCGTTATTATAGGATTGTCAAAACGATCTACTGCTCATTCTAGCCTATATCCTCCCGTGCACCACGGTCTATATTTGGGACAACCGAGCGCACGAGTGGCCGGGCAGGCCCCGCGCGTCCGTGGACACGTGGCGCC